AAGGAGCCTCCCCAAGCAGAAAGGACAAGGTCTAAGCCTGCTGCAGCTGGGGTGCGCTGTCAGCAGAGCCACGCAGCTCCGGGGCCCTGGTCACCGGCCACACCGCCTGGCCCCGCATGTTTTCCTCCCAGTCCCTTGCCAGCCACAGTGCTGCTGGGTGGAGATTGGAGAAATGGCAGCATGATTAGAAGCTTCCGGCCATTCTCTCTCACAGGCATTAAACATCTCTGCGTTCCTACACAAACACTGGCCAACTCCCAGGCCCGCCATCAGACCCCAACATTGTCCCCACGCAGCCACATTTCCAGGTCACACAGGGGCTCAGCAATGTCACAATAGAGGATGGGAGGGATGTGGGGGCCACCGGTCTGACCACCCCGCCCATCGGGGCCTTGATCAACTGATGCCGTGGTGGAGGGGTCCCCAAGCACCATCACCATCACCACCATCACTAATGCCAGCAAAAGCTATCGTGGCTGAGTACGCTTTGTCCCAACCACCTAGCGTTGCTAGGAGTCCCCGGATGGTGCAGTTAACGCACTCAGCTGCTAACCGAAAGGTTGGAAGATGGAGTCCACCCAGAGGTGCCTCAGAAGAAAGGCCTAGTGATCTACTTCCAAACAATCAGCCACTGAGAGGTCGGGTTGTCCTGAGTCAACGTCAACTCCACACAACTGGTTTAGCATTGCTTGAGCACTTGCTGTATACTGGTACTACATTAAGGCTCCACACAGAGTTACTCATTTAATTCTCAGTTGAGACACCCATTGTCACACCCATGTCACGGAGTGTGAGCCTGAGGCCTTGGGCATTACCTTACCAAGGCCACATAGCTCATAGTGGCCAGCGGGGATTTGAACCTAGGACAGCTGTCACATTTTCCTTTCTCGACTGCTTGGCTCAGACAGTGTGGATGTCAGACCCAGCAGGGGACACTTGTCCCACAGGCTCCCAGTGCCCCACGCCCTCACCCAGGCGAATGCCCACAGACAGGTCCCCGGGCAGAGCTTCAGGGGCTGCGGCTCACGGCAGGAAGGATGAAGGTTGACAGAGGTGCCACCATCCAACCAGATGGTCTCATATCATGGGGAAGTCCAAGCCCTGGCCCGGCCTGCCAACCTCCCCTGGCCACCCTCAGGGACCACTGGCTCAGCCTCACCCCGCCTGGCTCACTCTGCTCCAACCTCCTCTGCTCCCTCCCACTCAGGGCTCCCAGCCAGTTTCCCAGGCCACTCCCGCCATCCTCAAGCCCCACCTGACTGGCCCTCACCTGCCCATCCTCACCCTGCAACCTAGAGGGTGCATCCTTGGGGGGGCCTTCCAGAGCCCCAGGCCAGCCCTGCACTCTCCACCACTCTCTGGTCAGTTACACGACAAGCGTCTTTTAGTGGTGGCCTCCGCTAGCTGACTGTGTGCTCCCGTGAGCAGGAATGGCCCCTGCCAGGTCTCTACCCAATCCCCAGCACCCACAACAGAGCCACCACTTAGTGGCAGCTAAACAAAAAAACAAATGAGTGAATCAGTGAATGATTGAGCAAATGAATGTGAGTAAGTGAGTGAGGGAGTAGATGGATGATAGATAAGCAGATGGACAGATGGATGGATGATGGACAGATGGACGGATGGACAGATGGACGATGGATGGATGGATGGATGGATGAACAGATGAATACATGGTTACCATGGAACCTCTTGGCACCCCTCTGGGCCCAAGTAAACCCACTTCCACCCAACGCACGCCCACACCCGCTGACTTCCCACACTGCAACCCAGACAATGAAAGCAAATAAGTGAGTTTCCGGAGAAGCCAGATCACAGGACTTTTCTGGGCTCATTACAACAAATAAAAGTAAAACTCATAAACAAGTAAACCCTGGACTAAAAATGAACTTTTCTAAACAAACAACTAAAAAAGCCAGAGCTTCAAGTTCAGGATGCACGTGGGGTCCTGAATGAAGTTCAGGACACACGTAGGGGTCCTGCCTTAAATCCAGGGTGCACGTGGAAGTGCTGCCCCAAGTTCAGGACACACATGGGGATCTTGCCTCAAATCCAGGGTGCACGTGGGGGTCCCACTGCAGGTTCAGAATGCATGGGGGGTCCCTCTTTAAATTCATGATGCATGTGGGGTCGTGCCTCAAGTTTGGGGTATACATGGGAGCCCCATTTCAAGTCTGGGGAACATGCGGGGGTCCTGCACTGCGTGTAACAGAGGATGTGACAACCTGAGTCCCAGGGCCATGACCCTGCCCAGCATGTCCCCATCACCCCTAGCTGTCCCAAGCCCAGCTCTTCCACCTCTGGAGGCCAAGGTTGCCTGGGGTGGGTCCCAGCAGGCAGGCTCTTCCCTCCCCCCATCAGGTGACCTCCTCCTACTGAGATGCTCTGGTGGCTGATTCTGCCCCATTCTGGAGCTGGTTTAGGCTCTTCCCGCTGGGCAGCCATTGCCAGCCCCTAGTAGACTTGCCCCCAAACCCCAGGTCAGGTGGGTGGAGGGGCAGTGGCAATGGGAACGCTGCCATGCACGGGACTAGTTACCTGCAAAAGCTCCACCTGCACCACCCTGGCCCCTCCCCCAGCCCCGAGGGGTGCACACACCCTCCCCACCCCAAAGAGCTGGCCCCCATGGCCCATGTGGTTGAGCATTCACTGTCCCTTCCTGAGCATGAAAAGTCACTGCCTCGACCCAGCGAACCCCTGAGCTGCAGGCCATTATCCCACTTCCATCCTTTCCCCCCCAGCCCCCTCAAAGCTCTGTTATTGTTTTGCCAAGTTATAAGATTCCCCCTTTGGGAGGCCCGAGGGACCTTCCCCTAGGAATGGAAGCCCACAGGGGAAGATCTCCACTTTGATGCTGCCCTGCCTGCACCCCATACCTCCCTACAACGAAACACTACCTCTTTATTCCCCCAGACACCAGAGCAGGGAGGAGGGGATGCATCGGTTGCATGATCTGTGGCTGTGGGGGGGGCCTGCTGGCCATGACCCAGCACCTGTTCCTTGCCCCTGTCACCCGGCCAGGCGGTGGGGCCCGGAGCTTTCTTCTCCCTTTCCTCTCCCTCCCTTCCAGAGAGAATCACCCACTTCCTCCGCTGGAAAAACATTGCCTGTCCCTTCTCTTTCCCTTCTTCCCAATGAGTTCACGTAAGGCCACGTCGCAGCCCTGGCCAGCAGCCCTCATTCCTGTGTGGAGAGGAAAGGTGAGGATGCAGGCCCGGAAGCCAGTGCTCGGGCCCCTCGTGGTCAGCCCCCTGTGGCACTGCCAGCCCCTACCTCATGACACAGAAATGCCACGTCACCATCTCAGGTGGCCTGGCCCATGGGACGAGGTCCCTCAATCTCTGGGCTGACTCTTCTGAGGAGGAACACCGACTCCTCTTACACAGTCAGCTTCACCTGCTAGCCCATTTGTCCCCACTCACCTGCCAGCCCATCTGTCCCACTCACCTGCCAGCCCATCTGTCCCACTCATCTACCAGCCCATCTGTTCCCACTTGCCTGCCAGCCCATCTGTCCCCGCTCACTTGCCAGCCCATCTGTTCCCACTCAGCTGCCAGCCCATCTGTCCCACTCGCCTGCCAGCCCATCTGTCCCACTCTCCTGCCAGCCCATCTGTTCCCGCTCGCCTGCCAGCCCATCTGTCCCACTCACCTACCAGCCCATCTCTTCCCGCTTGCCCGCCAGCCCATCTGTCCCCGCTCACCTGCTGGCCCATCTGTCCCCACTCACCTACAGGCCCATCTGTCCCCGCTCACCTGCCAGCCCATCTGTCCCACTCACCTGCCAGCCCATCTGTCCCCACTTACCTGCCAGCCCATCTGTCCCATTCACCTGCCAGCCACCTGCCCCCACACACCTGCCAGCCACCTGTCCCCACTCACCTCAGATTCACCTGTCCCCACTCACCTGCAGACCCACCTGCTCTACATTCTCCCACAGGTCCACCTGTCCCCACACTCACCTAGTAGCCCACCTGTCCCCCTTATCCTGCCAGCCCATCTGTCTCCACACTCACCTGCAGGCCTGCCTGTCCCCACATTCACCTACCAACCTGTCCTTACTCACTTGCCAGTCCATTTGTCCACGCTCACCTGCCAGCCCACCTCTCCCCATTCACCTGCAAGCCCACTTGTCCCCAGCTGCCTGCTAGGCTCAGACACCTGGCCCCAGTCCTAGCCCCACCTATAATTATGCAGCCTTTCTGTGCCTTGGTCTCCTTGTCTGCAAAGAGGCAGCAGCACCTGCCCGGGCTGCTGCAGAAACAGGAAGGCACGCGGCCCAGGTTCCCGTGCACTGTGTAGAGTCAGTGGCACCACCCCTCACTGCTGCATCATACCAGGGACCCTCACTGGGCCCCATCCCACAGAAGCAGAGACTGGGGACAGACAGCCCATCGGCCCAGGCTGCCAGCAACAAGGGGTGGAAAGGACAACAGCCATTCTCTTGAGCCCACAGAGATCCAAGGGCACCTGGCCTAGTCCCAGCCTACCACAGGGGAGCACAGTCCAGCTGGCTCCCCACCCCAGCTGTCCTGGCAAAAGAGCCTGGAGAGCTGGGGAGGGGGCATGGCATGGCCGGCGCCAAGCGGCCCCACGAAGTCATAAGGGCCCGGAGCCAGGAGGCACCCAAGTCCTGACACTGACAAGGCCTGTGTCCAGAGCCTCCCCTGCCAGGCACTCGGGCACTGTGGACGGGCCCCACCCAGGCCGAGCTGGCTCAGAGCAGCGATGCAGACTGACCACCTCCCCACAACCCCCGCCCAGTTCTCTCTGCAGCATCAGCCCAGGGCACTTCACCACTCCCTCTGTGATGCCATGTGACAGCTTTGGCAAACAGAGGATGGAGTTCATGGGCCTGGAAGTCCCAGAAAGCGAAGATGGCACGATGCACTTGGCCAGCACTGGGAGGACATTCTCCATTAGGCATAGACCTCCAAGGCCCAGATTTATAGGGTCTGTCAGGAATGCGAGTCGGCCGTGCCGTGGACGAGGGGCACTCACGGGAGAGACAGCCCCTGTCGCCGGGCCGCTGGGTCCACCCGGGACAGCACCTGAGCAGTGTCCGGGCCTCAGTGGTGTACACCTGCCTGTAGGCTGTGTAGTAGTAGGTCCTAGAAAAGAGGGGAGAAAGGGGTTTTAGGGTGTGAGGCCACAAGGCTGACCCCTGCCCTGTCCCTGACTCACAGCCCAGTGCCAGGTGAAGCAGGGGTAGCTGGCCAGGCCACACAGGAGGAAGGAGGCCAGGACGGTGGCCCTGGTACTGGGTCTCCCACTCCCTCTGCCTGGCCCACCATCCCGCACAGTAGTCCCAGCTCCATGCCGGGGTCCACAGGTGCACCTGCCCCACACCTGGCTCTCATCACCAGGCCAGGCCTCAAAGGTCGGGGGTCAGACCCGAAGCACCCTGGTGTCCACCACCCAGCCTGGGAGCCAAGGACGGTTGTGGAATGGCCCAGAGGACCTGAGGCGCCCCTGGGTTCCCAGCACTGGCTACAGTGCTGGGGAAGGTGCCAGTTCCAACAACAGATACTGGTCCACCCACTCCATGCATGGGAGGGACATTGGGCAGACAGGGAGACTGTCTTGGGAGGACAGCGAGACCCTGGGAGGAGGTGAGACCATTCCAGGTGGACATTGAGACTGTCCTGGGGACTCCTGCCTGCCCCTGAGCTGGCTGCCCTCAGCCCATCATCACCTCCATCCCAGGGCCCCTAAGCCCCTGCCTCTCCCTCCGGGCTACATTTGGGCTGGGTCTCCAGCCCTCCAGGGAACTCCTTTCTGCTGCTCGAGGGAGTGGGTATGCCGGCAGAAGAAGCTGCCACCACCTGGCCTCCCTGGAGGGCCACCCTGACCCCCGCTCTCCTTCCCAAACCACCTCCCTTCACAAAAGTGACACTCACCCCCAGGTTCCAGGAGCTGTGTGGTCCTGGCATTCACAGTGACAGGACAGCTTGTGCAGGTGTGTGCGGGGGAGGACCGAAACCCCTGGGACCAGCCCCGGCCAGCAGCCGTTGGGTCAAGGACCCTCGAGCCCTGGTAGCCCAGGAGGCCTGGGCAGTGTCTCCAGGGGACAGACGTCCTCTTGTGGCTCACTGGGCTGTGCTCCAGAGGGTAGGGACACAGCCCACAAACACACCAGGAACCCGGGACCCGCCGGCTTCCCGGAAGTGTGTATGCATGCACGCGGGCATACAGCGTGCCCCATCCCCCAGAGCCTGGAAGATCTCCCCTTGGCAGGACATGAAACTGCTTGCCCAGGGTGCAGCCGGCAGTGTAACAATGCGTGGTGGGCGGAGCGTTTGGGCCCTTCCGCCGTAAATATTTATTCCCTCCCAGGCCATGGGGCAGGAGCTAGAGAAAGAAAAGGCTAGAAGCCAAACAGCTCCAGGGCCTGGGCCTGAGTGAAAATTCTGGAGAACTAGCATCATCACACCCCAGACCAAGCCCGCTATTTATACACATCCGGCCACCGTATGGCTCTAGCCAAGAGGCACTGGCCCTCACGCTGGCCCAAGTTCGCTGAGTGGCCTCCCAGGCAGCCAAAAGCCTCAGCAAGTCCCCAGTCTCTCTGCAGCCAGGTGACAGAGCCGCCTGGCAGGCAGGGCTGGCCTGAGCGTGGTAGAGCTGAAGCTGCATCCCCTGGGCTGATAGCTCACACGCTGCCGACCAGCCCACGCAGCTCCGTGTTCACGTTTCACTGCCAGAGATGCCCTGCCCCGCAGGGAGAATCACAGCCAAGGCTTCCCATCACCTACACCTGGCTGAGATAAGCACCTGCCATGCTCAGGCCACACCTGGTTGGAGTCCTAGAGGCACTTTCTGAGCCAGCTCCAGAGCTGGCACAGACTCTGTGGAAGACAAGACCACAGCCCCTCCCTTCCCACTACGGTCTCCCCTCCTCTGCTGGTCTTGTCACAACCACCTCCCACACAGGCCTAGCCTGCCCCACTGCTCCCCTTTCCCTCTGCCTTCAAGCCCCGTGCATCAGCCACTGGTGATGGGCACAGTGAATGCAGCTGCTGGCTTCCCAGAGGTGGAGGAGGGCTTCTCAGAGGAGGCCATATTTGAGCCGGGTTTTGAAGGATGAATAGGAGTTCAACAGAGGCTCTGTGCATCATGGCCAGTGCTCGGGCTGTGGAGTCAAATAGACTAGGGTTTGCATTTCAACCCCTCCACTCTCCCTGTGCGGCCACAGCCATACTGCCTAAATGCTCTGGGCCTCAGTTTCCTCATGTCTAAAACAGAGGGCTTAATACCTGCCTTATGGAGGCTGAAGAAAACGTAACCAAGCACAGCCAGCCAGGCCACGGTGGGCCTCAGCTCCCCCTGCACGGGCTGGGCCAGAGCCTCTGGGATGAGGCCAGCACTGTCCAGATGGCCTCAGTGGGCTCCAATGCCAGGTGAGGGGGCAGTCAAAGCCAGCCCCTGCTTCTGCCCCTCCTAGAGGCTGCTCTACTCACCAGCGCCTGTTTCCCAGCCCTGCCCTGTACCAGGCAGCTAGGGAAGGGTGCTCCCAGGCTCAGCATTATTAGTGATGTCAAGTCAACTCTTGACTCATAGCAATCCTAAGTGACAGAGTGGAACTGCCCTATAGGGTTTCCTAGGCTCCCCTGGTGGTGCAGTTGTTAAGTGCTTGACTGCTAACCAAAAGGTCGGTGTTTTGAATCCACCAGGCAATCTGAGGAAGAAAGGCGTGGCAGTCTGCTTCCATAGAGATTGTTGTTGTCAGGTGCCATCGAATCGGTTGACTCGTAGCGACCGTACGTACTACAGAACAAAACACTGCCTGGTCCTGCACCATGCTCACAATCGGTGTGATGCTTGAGCCCATTGTTGCAGCCACTGTGTCAATCCATCTCGTTGAGGGTCTTCCTCTTTTTCGCTGACCCTCTACTTTACCAAGCATGATGTCCTTCTCCAGGGACTGGTCCCTCCTGATAACATGTCCGAAGTATGTGAGACTTAGTCTTGCCATGCTTGCTTCTAAGGAGCATTCTGGCTGTACTTCCAAGACAGATTTGTTTGTTCTTTTGGCAGTCCATGGTATATTCAATATTCTTTGCCAACACCACAATTCGAAGATGTCGATTCTTCTTCGGCCTTCCTTATTCATCATCCAGCTTTCGCACGCATTAGGTGATTGAAAACACCATGGTTTAGGTCAGGCGCACCTTAGTCTTCAAAGTGATGTCTTTGCTTTTCATCACTTTAAAGAGGCCTTTTGCAGCAGATTTGCTCAATACAATGCATCTTTTGATTCTTGACTGCTGTTTCCATGGGCGCTGATTATAGATCCAAGTAAGATGAAATCCTTGACAAGTTCCATCTTTTCTCCATTTATCATGATGTTGCTTATTGGTCTATTTGTGAGGATTTTTGTTTTATGTTGAGGTGTAATCCATACTGAAGGCTGTGGTCTTTGATCTTCATTAGTAAGTGCTTCAAGTCCTCTTCACTTTCAGCAAGGAAGGTTGTGTCATCTGCATAATGTAGGCTGTTAATAAGTCTTCCTCCAATCCTGATGCCCCGTTCTTCTTCATAGAGTCCAGCTTCTTGGATCATTTGCTCAGCATACAGATTGAATAGGTATGGTGAAAGGATACAACCCTGATGCACAACTTTCCTGACTTTAAACCACATAGTATCCCCTTGTTCTATTGGAACGACTGCCTCTTGATCTATGTACAGGTTCTTCTGAGCACAATTAAGTGTTCTAGAACTCCCATTCTTCGCAATGTCATCCATAATTTGTTATATTCCTCACAGTCAAATGCCTTTGCATAGTCAATAATACACAGGTAAACATCTTTCTGGTATTCTCTTCTTTCAGCCAGGATCCATCTGACATCAGCTATGGTATCCCTGGTTCCACGTCCTCTTCTGAATCTGGCTTGAATTTCTGGCAGTTCCTTGTCAATATACAGCTGCAGCTGCTTTTGAATGATCTTCAGCAAAATTTTACTTGCATGTGATATTAATGATATGGTTCGATAATTTCCACATTCGGTGGGATCACTTTTCTTGGGAATAGACATAAATATGGATCTCTTCCAGTTGGTTGGGAGCACTTCCAGCGCTGCATCCATTTGCTGAAACATCTCAATTAGTATTCCATCAATTCCTGGAGCCTTGTTTTTCTCCAATGTCTTCAGTGCAGCTTGGACTTCTTCCTTCAATACCATCAGTTCCTTATCATATGCAACCTCCTGAAATGGTTGAGTGTCAAACAATTCTTTTTGGTGTGGTGACTCTGTGTATTCCTTCCATCTTCTTTTGATGCTTCCTGCTCATTTAATATTTTCCCGATAGAATCCTTCAATATTGCAATGCAAGTCTTTAATTTTTTTCTTCAGTTCTTTCAGCTTGAGAAACGCCAAGCGTGTTGTTCCCTTTTGGTTTTCTATCTCCAGGTCTTTGCACATGTCATTATAATACGTTACTTTGTCTTCTCGAGCCGCCCTTTGAAATCTTCTGTTCAGTTCTTTTACATCATCATTCTTCGTTTTGCTTTAGCTACTCGACATTCAAGAGCAATTTCAGAGTCTCTTCCGACATCCGTTTTGTTTTTTTCCTTCTTTCCTGTCTTTTTAATGACCTCTTGCTTTCTTCATGTATGATGTCCTTGATGTCATTCCACATCTTGTTTGGTCTTTGGTCATTAGTGTTCAATGGGTCAAATCTAGTCTTGAGATGGTCTCTAAATTCAGGTGGGATATACTCAAGGTCATACTTTGGCTCTCATGGACTTGTTCTAATTTTCTTTAGCTTCAACTTGAACTCGCATATGAGCAACTGATGGTCTGTTCCGCAGTTGGCCCCTGGCCACGTTCTGATATTGAGCTTTTCCTTTGTCTCTTTCCACAGATGTAGTTGATTTGATTCCTGTGTATTCCATCTGGTGGGGTCCACGTGTATAGTCACCATCTATGTTGTTGAAAAAAGGTATTTGCAATGAAGAAGTTGTTGGTCTTGCAAAATTCTATCATGTGCTCTCCAGCATCGTTTCTATCACCAAGGCTTTATTTTCCAACCACTGACCCTTCTTCTTTGTTTCCAATTTTCACATTCCAATCACCAGTAATTATCAATGCATGCTGATTGCATGTTTGATCTGCAGAAGTTGGTAAAAATCTTCAATTTCTTCATCTTTGACCTTAGTGGTTGGTGCGTAAATTTGAATAAATTTGAATCCGCAGAGACTACAGCCTTGGAAACCCTATGGGACAGTTCTACTCTGTCCTACAGGGTTGCTATGAGTCAAAATCGACTTGACAGCAACAGGTAGTCTTTACGGAAGCAGAGTGCCAGGTCTTTCTCCTGTGGAGCCTCTGGGTGGGTTTGAACCGCCAACCTTTCGATTAGCAGCCAAGGCTTAACCCAGGTTCAGCATGCAGTGGGCTACATGGGGTCCCCAAAAAGGACCTGTGAATGTGACTTTGTTTGGAGAAAGGGTCTCTGCAGATGTAATTAAGTTAAGGATCATCCTGGAGTAACTGAATGGCCTCAAATCCAATGACTGGTGTCCTGAGAAGAGAAGAGGACGCACAGAGACACACAAGAGGCAATGTGATGACAGATCAGTGTAACACAGCCAAAAGCCAAACACCAAGGATGGCCAGCAACCATCACAAGCCGGAAGAGACAAGGAAGTTTCCTCCTCTAGAGCCTTCAGAGGGAGCATGGCCCTGCTGCCACCTTGATTTCTGACTTCTGTCTTCCAGAACTGTGGGAGAATAGATGTCTCTGATTTTAAGCCCCCAGCGTGTGGCACTTTGCTACAGCAGCCCCAAGGACCAATACAAGTGCTAACAGGCAGGACCACCGGCACAGCCAGTGTTGTCAGTCCATTTCATGGGTGAGAAAACAGAGGCCAGTGGACAGCAGCCAGCTGGTTGGGTGAAGCCAACGATAAAACCCCCAGGCCTCTCACCGTCCTAGGTCCTCCCCCACAGCATCACCTCCCAGTGTCCCCAGTGCCCCAGGCCTCCTGCTTAGCCCCCCACCCCGGCTGGGGCTGGACAGTATGCTCCAGCCCTGAGGCCCCAGCTCCTAGGCAGCGAGCGGACTCCGGTTGTGAGCAGCCCTCCCCACGTGGAACCTGGCCCAGCACGTACCTCCTCACGTGGCTGACGCACCACCTCTGTGGCCCGCAGCCTGGTGTCCACATGGGCACAGTGCGGCTGAAGGCCTGCACACAGGGCTGGCGATGGCCCACCAGGGTCAGCTCCCGCTCGGCGCACACGTGGGGCCTGAAATGGAGAGACATATATAGTCAGCATCTTGGTTACCAACAGCCGGCCCATCCTGCTGCCCGTCCTGGGGGAGTCATCCAGTGTGGGCCCAGAGCCTGCCGGAGTGAGGGCTCCACAGCACAGAGCCCCTCTCCTTCCTCGTGCCCACCAGGCTCAGAGGGAGAAGAGACAGTGATCGCAGCACAGTGCCCCCGCAGCCACTACTGTTATAGATTGAATTGTGCCCCTCCCCAGATATGTGTTGGAATCTTATCCCCCAATCACTAGAATGAGGAGCCCTGGTGGAGCAATGGTTAAGTGCTCAGCTGCTAACTGAAAGATTGGCGGTTCAAACCCATCCAGGGGCTCTGGGAAGAAAGACCTGGTAATCCGCTTCTGTAAAGATTAGAGCCTAGAAAACCCTATGGGGAAGCTCTACTCTATCATATGGGGTCACTATGAGTCGAAATTGACTGGATGGCACCTAACAACAACAACAATCACTAGGAAAGGACAAGTTTGGTTAAGTAGAGGGTCAGCAAAAATGAGGGAAACCCTCCATGAGATGGACTGACACAATGGCTGCAACAATGGGCTCAAATATACCAAAGACTGTGAGGATGGCGCAGGACCAGGCAATGTTTCATTCTGCTGTACATAAGGTCTCTATGAGTCGGGGGCAACTCAATGGCAACTAACAACAACAAATACCTGTGGATTTAATCTAATACAATGTAGTGCAATCACCTTCCATAATGCAATCAGTGGAGCTCTAGTGGCCCAGTGGTTAAGATTTGGGCTGCTAACCAAAAGGTCAACAGTTCGAATCCACTAGCCGCTCCTTGGAAACCCTATGAGGCACTTCTACTCTGTCCTACAGGGTTGATATGAGTCGGAATCAATTCAACGCCAATGGGTTTGTTTGTTTGTTTTTAATGCAATCAGTATAATATAAGCAATTAGTTGAAGTCATAACAGTGTAGGTAGATCCTAAACCTAATAATTTCTGAGTTATATGTTGTCGTTGGCTGCCATCAAGTCCACTCTGACTCATGGCAATCTCATGTACAACAGAAACAAATGTTGCCCAGTCCTGCATCATCCTCATGATCACCAGCATGTTTGAGTCCATGGTTGTGGCCATTTCTGAGTTATAAAAAGATCAGCATAGACCCAGAGACACAGAGGGAAGACAGTTGCCATCTGACTATGGAAGCAGATGCATCTACAAACCCAGGAACTCCAAGGATTGCCAGCTACTAGAAGCTGAAATAGACAAAGAAGTTCCCACCCTAGACCCACAACCTGAATTTGGACTTCTAGCCTCCAAAACTGTGAGGAAATAAGTATCTGTTCTTTAAAACCCCCCACTTGTGGTATTTCTGTCCCAGCAGCCCTAGGAGACTGACATACCACACACAGGCCTTGGTCCCACAATTCCTGGCTTCTCATCCTCCCAAGATCCCTGCAACAGAGGTGTCACTGCACCTTCAACAGACAGGGAGCTGAGGGACAGCGAGGGATAGTGCCTGATTTGGCACACCCTAGGTTGGGGCCCTGAGTCTACCTGACCCCGAAGCTCCACTGAAACCTGTCCCCTCTGGGTGACCCTACTGACTTCAGAAACGCCCCCGAGCCTGGTGCATGGTCGTGCTGGGACATGCGGGCAGAGAGGGAGTTGGCTCCGGGCAGAGGGACAAGCCAGAGCAGAAAGAGCATGTGAGAGAGCAGGGCACCCAGGAGCATGGAGGAGGCGCCTGGCAGCCAGCTCCCAGCCCACTGTGGCTTCACCCTCCCGGGACCTCGCCAGCACCCAGATTACTGCACAAGCTGGGCGAGAGTGGCACCTAGCTGCAGAGGGTAGCCACGGGGCAGCTATCCCAACCCTACCGCAGCCTCAGAGCAGGTGAGGCAAGGGGAGCCTGTTCATGAAGGCTCTGCCCTGCTGGGGAGTGGTCAACGGGAGGAACATTCCAGAGACAGGCCAGGGAGGCAGGCGAGGTCCGGAGTGCTGGCCTGCCCAGGCCTGCCTCAATTTAGGGACAAGGGTGGTCTCCACAGAGGCACATTCCAGGAGCAGAGGTTCAGCTCCTCTGCCGGTGTCCCATTGTGCTGGATGGAGCTTCAGGAAGGGGCTGGCTTCCACATGCCTTCGGAGAAAGGGACAGAGATCTTGGAGCACAATGGAGAGCTCTGGGCTCCCCTCTCCAGCACATGGGGCCAGGCGCGGCTGTGAATCCAACCTGCCTGCATTCCAACCTTCTCTCCCTCACCCCACTCACATCTGCCTGCACACACTGCCCAATAAATGTCCAGCCCACCCAAGCCCGACCGACCACTCACACTCACCCAGCATATGCCCACCCTATTCACACTCATTCCACTCACACCTGCCCACTCACACCCACCCTGCTTAAGCCTACTCGTTTATACTCATCACATCCACCCCACACACACACACCCTGCTCATGGTCATCACGCCTGCCCCACACATGCCCTGCCCTGCACATGTCCACCTGCTCAGGTTCCAAACATCTCACCCAGAACAGAGGCTGTTCCACTGCCATGGAGTTCACTCAGGAGCCTAAGCCTGGGGTGGCTGCAGAGAGAGGGCCTCGAAGAAGCAGAGCAGAGGCTGCCTGCCAGGGGTGGGATCCGAGGTCTAACAGGAACACCTGGATGTGACCTGCAACTGTGGCCTGGCAGCCTCCACGGCCACCTGGAGCGCCACCTCTCACCCTGCAGTCTGAGTTGGCTGGCTGTGCAGACTCCTGGGGTGGGTTGGAAGGGCTCTGCTGTCGCCTCTTCCCACCCCACAGAATCAGCCAGGGCCTGAGGGGCAGGGGAGGGGACTTCCAAAAGTTCTCCTTCTAACAAGGAGGGTGAGAGGGAAGAAGCAATGCATTTCTGGAGTGTCTCTTGGGTTTATCATCAACTCTCCAATGCCTCTGGGAGAGGCTATGAACCACCTCCCCGCCCCCCAGTGGTCTGCTCAAGGTCACCTGCTAATGAGAAGTAGAGCCTCATTGAAGGCCCGGCCTCTCTGCTTCCCTAGCACTGCTGGGCTCTGTACCCTGGAGGGCCAGCAAAGGATGCAGGGCTGTTTTTCCAGGAGCCATGGCATGGACTTCATATCCTTGGACCAGGGGTTCTGGGGTAAGAATATGGGAAGATGCCGAGGGCAGGGGGGTCAGACCAGGGCCCGGGAGTACCATCACCATCACTCAGCCTGGGTCCCGGACTAGGGGGCTGGGTTCCTGCCTGGCCTCATTCCTGACCCCAGCCTACAGCAGTAAGGCTGGGTAGTCTTCCCTGTCCCACCCTGCTCTGTGCCCACACATACACACATATTCACACACACAGATACACAGACACCCCACACATCTCAGCCCTCTGGCTTTTGAGGCCTTGGCCAATGGGAGGCCCAGCAGGAGAGGGGAGGGAGGGAGGAGAGAACAGCTGGTATACACATCCCTCCCTGACCCTTTCCTGTGCCTTTGGATGTAGCCCCAGAGCCCCACTCTCCAGCTGCAGCCCCCTCTCTCTGGGTACAGGGAGCCAGCCTCCCCTTGCCCTTAGTCCTGGAGTTGAAAAGGTGCTCCCTGGTCACCACCCACCCCCACCCTGCACCCCTTTGTAAATACCCTGTCCCCAAACCCCCATCCTTGGAGGGAGCTATTTCCTGTCCCTCCTGCTGGCGTGCATATTGTCACACTGAGAATCAGAACACCCATTCTCCAACAATACCGAGTTTGGGTAAGAGCCGGACGTTTTAAAGCATGTGTACATCTTGGTAGCCAGAACTCACGAATGAGTTCACCTACTCAACCCCGTGCCCAGCCACCGTCTCAGGCCGGAGGGCATGGGGTTCTCAAAATGGGGTCCCCATCCACCGTTAGAAATGCAAACCACCTGGCCACACCCCAAAACATGCAGGGGTGAGCCCACATCTGGTTTTAACAAACCACCCCAGGGTTCCGACACATGCCCATGTCGGCAAAGCCTCAGCTCCACACGGACAGCCAATATGACCAGCAAAGAGCTTCACTGGTCATGCCTCGGTTTCCTCGTCTGTAAAACGGGGAGGTAACGGCACTGCCCTCGCCAGGCTAGTGTGAGGTTCAGTGAGCTAGCAGGGCGGGGCTCCTGACAACCCCCACCAGTGTCCGCTGGTATTCTCATCAGTGCTGTGGGCTGTGTCAGGGAACCCACTGCTTATCCTTCCAGGAAAAAATGTCATTTGCAAACTGAAATCTGGCCCAAACGACCTGCTATAGACGACACATCATTCTTGTTTCCATGCTTTTGCCCACACCTGTGCCTTGCAGTGTAATTATCCGCCATGAGACCCAGGACCAAGGGTACCTCGCTCTCTTACTGTAAAGAGTGGACGGAAGGAGGGAGGACAGTGGGGAGTGGCACTGGAGGCTTGGAGCTTCCTGGCTGCTGGGCTCCCCAACTCTAAAACAGCCCTATGCTGTGGGGGCCATTTCAGCAGGACCTCTCCCTCCTCTGAGGGTGGAGGTGACCCGCAGCAGGCAGTGGTATGATGGTGACCAACACAGGTTGGAGCAGACAGCCCAGTCTGGGGCCTGGCCCTCTCTGCGCCTGTTTCAGCCTCCGTAAAATGGGGTGATCCCAGCACGCATCCCCAGGGCTCGTGCACACCTGAAATGAGATCTTGCCTGTCAGGAATTAGGCACAGGTCTGGCTCATGGAACGTTCCAGTATTCTGGTCCCCACATCCCTGCCCGGAGCACTGGCCATGCCCTCAGGGATGGCCCAGCCCAGCACACACAATGCCAGCGTTGGGGCCAGGGAGGGAACGACACAGAGGACAGGGTCCCACAGGCTGAGGACAGAGCTGGGCCACCGGGCAGGGGGTGGGGAAAACAGCCCACTCGGATGTTGAGAATGTCAGGGCTTGTCAGGAAACCTGGGTAGGGCTGGTGTTCTCCTCTGAGCACCTCCTTTTCCTTCCTACCCTCTCCTCAAACCTCCTCTATGCTGGCTGCTGCTAACAAGTGAGTTGACAATGCTGAGGGCGCCCACTGAGACCCTTTGCCCACCCCACTGTGGTTCACACAGCAGCTTTACCAGAACATTCACTCTGCTTTACTCTCCTGCCCCCGTCCCCAGAGGCACCAGCATGACAGTGGTCCCAGCCCCACGTCTCTGAGGAGAGCCCTCCAGGACCACTGCTGACCCCAAGCATGGGCAGCGTGGACCACAGGGAGCCAGCACCCTGCCCACAAGGCCAGCCAGCTTTCCAGGCACAGGAGGCTGTCCGTGAAAACGGCTCTGGGCCCAGGCTCAGGCCAGCACTCTGCGTCAAAGGTCTGGCTCCTCAGACGGACCACTGTGGCGGCTTTTCCATCTGGAAGGGTGGAGGAGACGGGTGGTGTGGGGAGACAGAGGGCAAGCGGCTGAGGAGGGAACAAAGAGAAACCCAACCGACCCCTGAAGGGGATCCGACAGAGACAAAATTAAAGCACTTGCAGACCACCGGTAAAATGGAGCAGTTGGGGCCTGTTTGTCCCTTGCAGTGGGGCCTGCTTCCCATCTAGGAAAGAAGAGGCAGTTCCCACACTACAAAGTGAGCCCAGCCCATCAGACGGGGAACCTGTCCCACCTGTCTGGTCATCTGCTCCCCAGCAGGCTGGGCTGGTGGAGCATGGAGCCATGGGCCAGGGGGGCACAGAGGAAGCATCCTGCAAGGGCAGCCAGTTACCTGGGGCCCCCATGACAAGTGCACCAGGGTCTGCACATGAGGATGGATGGGCGGACTAGGCCTGGGGTCAGCTGGCCTCACACAGATGGGAACCCAGCTGAGCACACCTCATCTATGAGGAAGGCTGGTACAGGAGAAGGCCCCCGTCTCATTTCCTTAATGCCCTGTTAGTACCCACCCAGCTCCTTTGGACACGCTTCTCTGGCCGGGGGACATCAAGTAGGAAGGGAAGCACCAGGCTCTGGGGTGAGTGGGCCACGATCCTGCCCTGAGATGCTGCCACCCAGCAGGTGACTCTTGGACCCTCACGTCCGTCCACTAGACAATGAGACAATTACCTGCTGTGTCAGATGTACAGGGCCTGACACAAAGCAGCTGGCAGTGGATGTACACTCCTCCTTCTGCCCCCCCTTGCCTTCCCCGCCACACCTACAGCATGGCCTCAGTCAGCGCCCAAGAGAGGCAGAGGATAGGGCCCTGCCTGCTGTGAAACTCTGAGGCCACAAAGGGGAGGCTCAGCATAGCAGCCAAGGGCAGTCGAAGCCTAATTCCATTCCCAACTCCTTCAGTGGGTGAGTGGTGGAGCTTCCTAAGCGGGGAGGGGCTCAGCGCTGGGGAGTGGGGCCGTCTCAGGCCTCAGGGCCTTTCCAGAGAGCTACTTGCAAGACTGGACTTGAGCCAGGGGGCCGTCCTGGCCTGGAGGATGGATCCACTACAACTAGTCCATCGCAAAGAGGAGCTCTTTTTGCAGCCCAGAGGTGAGTCCAGCCCCAGGGACGCTGGAGTGCCATGTGAGTCTGCTCTGAACAGCAGAGACTTGGGCCTCGAGCTGGCCAGAGCTCAGTAGGTGGGGACATCTGTCCCCCTGTCACCAGGCCCGGCTCCCAGCAGCCCAGCCAGCAGCCTTGGGCCGCCCTGCATGTGGTCAGCAGTTGTTCCAAGCCCCAGGAAGGAAAGACAAGCTGTTCGTCTGTGGCAGCAGAAATTCACTTTGAAGGCAAAAAAAAGCCACTCCCAGGAGAGCCACAGCTGGTCAGTGGGAGCCAAAGGGCCAGGCCGTGTGCATGGCCCAGCGGATCTCGAAAGGCCATAGAGCATCTGGAGATTCAAGTCAGGGCGGCTCCACCCACAGCACCCCCTCCCCACACTGAGCCAGGCGGGAGGTCAGCAATACCATTGAAACTTGGCTGCCAACAGTTCAGGTATCACGGCCGGAGGGAGTGCAGTGTCCCTGTGCCCAGCCCTGCCAGCTGGCCAGATCGCCCCGGAGGGGACGGTGGCAGGGAGGAGAGGACTAGCTGGGACGAGGACCCTTGCTACCCTCCTAGCCCCCTCCCCTGCCAAACTGAAAAACCTGCCCCTCTTCACTGGTCTCACCCCTTCAGGAGCAAGGGAGAATGAAGAGAACAGGATACAAGGAAAAGATTAGTCCAAAGGACTAATTGTCCACAGCTACCGAGGCCTCCACCAGACTGAGTCCAGTGCAGCTAGATGGTGCCCAGCTACCACCACTGACTGCTCTGACTGGGATCACAATAGAAGGTCCTGGACAGAGCTGGAAAAGGATGTAGAACAGAATTCTAACTCACAAAAAAAGACCAGATTTACTGGCCTAAAGGAGACTGGAGAAACCCCGAGAGTATGGCACCCAGACACCCTTTTAGCTCAGTGGTGAAGTCATTTCCGAGGTTCACCGTTCAGCCGGGGAGTGGACAGCCCCATAAAACCAAATGGGACTAATGAGGTACAGCAGTCCAGGGACAAGGGTCAGAAGACAGAAGGGGACAGGGAAGCTGGTGATAGGGAACCCAAGATTGAGTAAGGATAGTGTTGATGTGTTGTGAGATTGTTAACCATTGTCATAGGGTAACATTTGTAGTAACTGTTAAATGAGAAACTATTTTGTTCTGTAAGCCTTCATCTAAAGTGAGAATAGCAGCACAATTGGAAGAGCGTAGTCGATGTCACTGAACTGTGCTTGTAGAAATTTTTGAAATGGTGTATCTTTGGCTATATATCTTTTCACCAAAAAAATAATGTCGAGAAGGGAGAGGGTTGACATGTTGTGGGGTTGTTAACCAATGTCATAAAACAATATGTGTACTACTGTTTCATGAGAAACTATTTATTCTGTAAGCCTTCACCTGAAGTACAATAAAAAAAAAAAAATCTGCCCCTCTTGGAGCCTACCGACATCCACTCCCTTTCTGCTCAGCAGAACAAGCTGTCGGCTGGGGTCCCGGTCCCCACAGCCCAGCAAAGAGCCCAGAGCCCTCACTCCTGCAACCAACCGACCAGCCCAGGCCTGCTGCAGCCCCACTGTGTGTCGGCACATGCCGGGCCTAAGAGACAAAAAGATTTTGGACAACAACCCCTAGCCCTCCAGTGGCTCACACTCACATATGTGTTCATGATGCAGTTTGAGAACAGCAGTCCTGGTGGATGAGCCCCGGGGCAAGGAATAGGGACCTAGTCCCCAGAGAAGGGGCCACCATGATGGGAAGAGGCTCCAGTGGAGGAAGAGAGGCTGGGTGTCAAGGGGAGGCAGAGCAGGAAGGACTGACCCTATGGACTCCCACAGCCTGGGTCATCTAATCCATCCACGCAGGTTCAAACCACCTCCCTCCCCTTACCCCTCCAAGCTAGCAGACAGAACACAGAGAAAGGGGCTTTGGGTTCCACTCCCTGGGAGCTCAGGAAGCTCGGGTGAGCTGGGAGGGGGCCCAGAAAGGGTAGTGGCAGTGTTCACAAGCACACCGGGCTCAGAGGCCCCCTCTCAAGAGCAGAGACATACACCCACATCGGCAGAGCAGCTGCCCACCCCTTGGAACCAATGCCCTGGAACCCCCAGGAGCCTGCAGCTCTGGATAACTGTCCAGCCATCGGGAGAGTAGGGCCAGTGGGTGGCTGAACCCCTTCCTGTGACTCATCTGCAGTTGTAGGGACACTTGGGGGAACTCGCAGGGTTCCAGGGAAGAGGAGTGTGCGGCTGAGAGTTGGGACCTAGCCCATTCACATTTCTGGATGCAAATTCCCCCGCCCAGAGTCATGGGACTTCTGTGGAAAGGCGACTTTCCTTCTTGAGTACAGCAAAGACCAGTGTAGGGGTTTGGGAGTGTGGGCCTGCTACCCTCCCTGGCTTCGCCTGGAGGCCTGTCCCCTCTCTGTCCCTTCTGTGACCCCAGAGACCCAGCAGCAGCAGCTCTATACTACAAGACCAGGAGACCAGGTGTGCAGCCTGAGGGACTTCAGTGCCAGGCCTTTAGCAGAGTGCTGAACGGGAAGGAGGCTGGCAAACACTTTCTGCATCTCCGGAAAGGGTCGCCAGCTGGGCAGTCAGCCAAGGGGCCTGAGCCCGGCCCGCCTGGGCAGCGATCCTTGTTCTGACAAGGGCAGCCCACCAGCCCCTCTGCAGCACTGCCTCCAAAGCCTCTCCAAGCTCTGCAGGCCCAGGCCGCGCACCCTGCAGGGACCGTGGGGGTGGGGGCCACCAGTAGGCTCCCCTCTTCCTCTGTATCAGCTGACTTCAGCACCAGTTTTCCTTTGAGACCAACACAGGACTGATTTGCTGTTAACGAGAGACTGCTGAACCGCCCGTTGGGGAATCATCTTTCAAAATTAAATCCATCTCACTCGTTCCCTGACCCTCTCTTCCTGCCATTCGGGTACTAAATTCCTTCTCCCGCGTGTCTCTCTAGCAGCCTGCAGCACACGTGTTTAGTTAACACAGCAATCAACTCAGCGCAGCCGTCTGGGGTCTGCGCACAACCCCCTTCCCTGCGCGCACCTCCCTGCCCCCAGAACGGACCCCAGCAGCCAGGCTTCCTTTCCCCTCTCCAAGCCCCCTCCCTGATTAGAGTTCCTCCATCTCTCCTCAAAGTACAGCATCTGCGTTGGCATGCAGACCACGTACAGAGTTCAGGCCTGCGGTGCGGCGGGGTGAGCACAAGGACGCGGAGGAGGCGAGGTGGCCCTGCCGCAGACTCCCCCCCCCAGAACCTATGCCTGGAAACCTGCCGTGGCCACCCCCTCCACGGTTAAGGCAAAGGGCCAGTTGTTCTCCGTGCCCGAGCGACAAAGCCTCCGGAGCGCCCGCTACTCACATGCTGGGCTGCAGCCGGGGCAGGCGTGGCGGGGCGCCGGCAGACAGGGCGGGGAGCAGCAGCACGAGGGTCAGGGCCACTGCGCGCCCCGCCGCTCGTCCAGGTGTCCTCGCCTCTGGGAGGAAAGTCATTGTGCTGCAGCCTCGCGCCGGGTCCCCCTATCCGGGCCCAGCTCACAGGCGGCCCCGGCGGCCCCTCGGAGCCGCCTTCACTTCAGTCATGGCCGGGGAGGGCGCACAGGGCGCAGCCACAGGTGCCCGGGGGCAGAGGGCCGCTGCAGGTGCGGAAGGTCCCCTTCCTGCCGCGCCCGGAGGGGCTGTGCCGAGACGTGAGCGCTGGGTCCTCCAGCCAGACACTCGACGCCGGGCCCGCGCTCCCGCCAAGGCAGTAACCCAGTGTGCGCGGAGACCCGCGCCCGGAGGCCGGCCCGCCCCGGACACGCCCCCGG